CACTTATTGCCATCTCAATAGGAGAATGGTTTTCCAACTATAACTAAAGAAAACTTATTGAAGTTCAAAATGTAACATTTTGATGTTTATAGCAATTCAACCTAGGGTTCGAATTAAACGTTTCTCCTTGTGGGTCTTGAACCCAGAGTATACAGGTCACTACCCAACACCCTATGCTGGAAATCAGCTGATGAGAGTTGCTCATTGCGATATCACAAAGTTGACTCTCCCCTTCCTGAGAGCTCAATGGTTTCCATTTCAGGAAAGGCAAGATTTTTGAAGGGGTTGAATGTATTATCTGTCTAATGTCAACCTCTTTTTGCCTTGATGGACCCATTTGACATTCCCATGATTTGTTTCCCTCCTAGAGACCGAAGCTTGTAGATTTTAGTACTTCTATGGGAACCAATAACAAATTACCTTCAGACACGTTTTAGCAGATGATTAAACAACTAATGTGATTGTAAGTGCAACCTCCAACTCTCTTCAAGATGGGAAATAATTGCACTTTTTTATCAGGAATTGACTTTGAATTAATAACACTATTCATTGTTTTCTTTGCTAATGGAAATGTTTATGTTTGTGAGGAAATTACAGGTAGACTTCCGTGAAATGAGTAGAGTCTGACTAGATATTCTGTTTTTTCCCGAGTTTCGTTCAGGTGTCTTCACTTTCCATAATGGTTTTGAAAAAGTATAGAGCTAGAATCGGTGCTGAGTGATTGGACAAAGAATGTGTTAATGGGGGCAAAATTACCTATCAATTTATTTCTAATTTGGACAAAATCACAGCTCCGTTAGATCGGTCTTACTCAAAACTTGGTCCATGAGGACTTATTGACCATATTCAAATGTGTTTCGATACCAAATTATACACAACCAGTGTCCATCATAGGTCAATAGACATTTTGAATTTCACTTAGCCTGTATCAAGGCCACAATTCAGGTTCTTGTGAGTTGCTCTCAAATCAGACTTTAATTCCATTGTGTGAACCTTTGTGAGAAGTAGGCTCCTCTCGCCCTCTTATGTCATTTACCTGTCGATTTGACCTTGAAAATTTAAAACAACTTCGCGATCAATACCAAATAATTCGATTTTTTATGAACCTTCACGCTGAGACTGAATCACCTGGACATCGATTGTCAGCATCATTATGATCTGATTCATGTCATATCACCAGTTAAAACAAGTTCTAAGGTATTTTTTCAATCCCTATTTAATTAAAATAATCGATTTCAGCATCTATAAGTTCATAGAAATTTTCCATTAATCTCGCCTTTTATAGCCACTAGTGTTTATGTCAAAATGGAGTAATATTCTTTGTGTAACATTTTAAACATGATTTCCTAAATTATTCAAAAATGTGCTTTGATGGTCTTTCACTTTTTATAGGTTTTGGTTATGCTATATTCTAAAATTATAACTATTTTACAAATGGAGAGACTAATTCCTTACAATCATTTTAGGCCAATAATTAAGAATGCAAAATGATGAATGTATTGGATATTGGAGGTTATGTTACCAAAATGATATACATGATAAGATGGGGTGGGCGGTGGATATAAATAGAAAAGTATAATTAAAAGAATAAAAAATGGCATTCAAAAGCTCTCTTCATCCGATTTGTCCTCTTTCTTCACCAATCTCGTCAACCAGAGTTGTCTAAATTGCGCCGTCTTCAACATTATCTACTCCTTTTGTTCTAGCTGATATTTCTCCTCCCATTCTACAGCTTCAATATCAGCTTCTCCAGATGCGTCGATGGGGGTGGCTTGAGAACCTGCATTCCACCACCTGTCAATTACGACTTTACCGCGGCCATTCAGGCGTGCGCTCAGAGTGATGCGACCAATGTAGAGAAGGTAGAGAACGAACTATAAAACAAAAAGCAATTGAGATGATTAGTTGATTGAGTAGATTTATATCGGTAGATGGGCAAATGAAGTCTGTATCTTTGAACAGAAAAACGCAAGTGAATACATATTTTAAGGTTATGGATAAAGATTAGAAGAACTTTAGGGCTATGGTAAATACGATTCAGAGAATGCGCTGTGAATTTGTAAACCAACCTGCACAACAACACAGACGGCGATGACTGTCGCGCTAACAGAAGCAGCCTTTCCTGGTTTACTCCAGTCAAGCACCGGGTAGATTGGTTTGTTATGGCCGGCATTGTAGTAGATATAGGAGAAGGTGACATAAATTACACCGTAGATCATCGGATATATAGTGTGGAATAATCGAATAGGGAGTCCATTTACACATACATCTAAGAAAACCGTAATTGCTGGAATTGTGTGCTTGAACTCCGATTCTGGTAGGTAGAAACGGGCTAAATGCAATAAAAACGGATGATATTTGTAGTCGCTTAAATCTTGGTTCATACTACTGAATTTATTCTTTTATGAACTTGTTTTATTTTTTCTAATCTCAAATTCCTAACTCATAATTTCAATTTTTTAATTGTTCTTTTGTTTTTTTGAAAAGAGTTTGAAATATCGCACACTAATAGAATTAGCGACTTTTGTTCAAAATTTAACAGTTAAATAATTTCTTAATATAGCAGCAGACATTCATCTATCGTGGAAATTGATGCAAACCTCTCCTGTCACCTTTCATGCCCACACGGCAAGACTGATAGCTCAAATGATCTCAATTAATGCTATCAAGGCAGCAGACAGCTATGTTGATTTGCAAGACAAGGAATTAGATTGTATTCTAGTTAAAATAAAAGGAATAGTTCCCATTTAAGAAATAATCCTAGGAATGTTTGATTCGACAAGTTGATAGTTACCTCAATGATTATAAGATGAATTTCATTTAACCTTGACTAATTGTCGCTTTTTTATTCTAGCTAAAGCTTCTGAAAACTTGCAAATATGTCGAAATCGTTTGTTCCATTTAAACAAAAAATCTACCAATGTGATCATAGCAATGCTATTATGCAGTATTTTCTTATTAAAAAACGTAATTAATTAATATAATAAGTTACTTTACAACTATTTTGAACAACAATAGAATGTCACAATAAAACTGTTATGAGGCAGGTCAATTTGAATGGCATTTAAATGTGTAAATTGAGATAAAATAGAAAGATAGTTAGTATCGAAGAAATTAAATTAGGAAGATCGTTTCAAAATGCATTATTAAAATTATTAAATATGTAGCTAACGCCTCCTCAAGTTTAGTTCTATGTCTTGTTTAAACATAATGTCTTTTTTTCTCAGATTTAAGTTTCTATCCTTTGATATCTTCACGGTCTATTAAAATTAATTTTAGCATTATATTCTCAAACGAATTTTAAAACTTTGGCAGTTAAATTGATAGCGTTTTAGGGGTAAATTAGAAGGCTCAGTAATAATTAGCGCCAATTCATACCACTGAACAAAGTAATCTCATGTGCACTCAGACAGTCTGGACGGTGCGTCCGTGGAACTTGTCGTGATGAGTAAGTGTGATCGTGAGAGGGGAGTACATTCAGCCAATGAATAATCAATAGCTCTTGTGTGGTTTAGCAAAACCACACAATATTAATATGACGACTAATTTCCAAGATTGTACATACACAACGCACACACTTCCCACGTGTGTTCCACGTGATATGTCTGTTTCCTCTATAGGCACGAGGTAGCTTATCTAGTTGTGGGAGTCTTTGCAAGCATAGAGGAAACAGCCATAGAGATAACTGAATGTAGTCAAGGTTTATTAGTGTGACATTACACTGAAAGGTGCTGCCAATTACGGTCAGTCTGGTTCCAACTAAAACTTACCGTATATTGGAATCCACAACGGGGCCCAGTAACCGAGAGATGTGACCACAACTGTGTTCATTGACATGCCGTAAAAGAACCAGAGAATTTCACTAGGCCATCTTGGAATCTTTGCATCTGAAATTGTTAATCACAGAATATAGTTTGCGATTAATTTATGTCAATAAATTCAATAAAAAGATCTGTTTCATCAGATTAAATTTAGATCAGTAACTTCAATTTCATCTTTATGTGGCTGAGAAATCAAGACTGTACTGAAGAGGTGACGTCATCCTAGCAATATGGCATTTGATGTCTTAATTCGATGATTAACAATGTCACCTGACCTTTTAAGTTTATTAACAAAGTATGTTAATCAAGAATGAACGTACTTCAACAAACAGGATATTCAAATTGACTTTTTTTTTAGATTCAAGAAAGAAGATTATTTTTAGATTTTAAACACAAATAGATTCTCACCTTTCTTGCAATTGTAAAACGTGCAGAATATTGCGAAGACACTGGAGCTGAAAGTGTACGTGAGAAAGGACCAATTTGTGGCGTAAAGGAAGTAATTGATCCATGGATGTTTGAGTCCTCTTAGCTCAATCCCCAGCGGAATCTCCACGCAAGCCCAGACTAACAAACCGACGGCAATGAAGAATCGGTAGATTGGATAGAAGTATTTATCCATCCACTTCCACTAAAGTTAAAAGAAACGTCAACAGACAAGCAAGTAATTAAATCCCATTGGGATTTCAAATGAAGTTGCTGTTGTCGTGACATAGAAAAATTGGTCGCTTCATCTAAAAAACTCCTAGTGCAAAAATTATCAAGTCCTTATTACACCTTCCCATAGTTTGACAGGGGGATTTTCAAGTAATTGTAGTTGAATATGCTTTTCTCTGTTTGAATTCATCTCCTTTTCTGATTAATTAATAATGATTGTTGATGGCAAACATAAATGCCTTTATTGCTTAACAAAGATGGCTTTCATGAGTGAAAAATGCAATGAATAATAATTAAAAAAATTGTAATTGTTTTCCCTTACTAGATCTATTCATTATCTGTCAGTCAAGCACATTTGCATGAACTAAACGCCAAGTGTCATGCTAAGTCTTCTGTGGTAAATTTTAACACTGGGCAAGCAAATCAATAATTGAAAAGAAAGAATTTCAAAACTTACTTGAGCAAATGGGAAGAGTTCATAGTTAGCTCCACTGAATCCCAGATTTCGACATTTAAACTCATATCTAAATGCCTTTCCCAGGGTTTGACAACAGGTCCTCCGCCCTTCAGCTTTATCCCCCATTGCACGATTGTTTCCATGGAGCATTTTTGGTTAGTGCTGGAATATATAGATATCAAATTCATCCCAACCAATGAAAGTCTCCCTAAGCCTCATTACTTTCCAATCGAATCACATGGTGCCTCAACTATTAATGTGGTATTTTGTGTTTTAATCACATTATCATACAACTCTTTCATATGAGAGATTTATTTATCGAATGAGCCTATACAGAATTTGACACGTAGCGTTTCTTTATTACTAAGATCTTACTTCGACTTCAAGGTTTAATTTCCCTTTAATGACTTGTGTACTCGTTTTAAGCATTTCGAAGGGGGTTATTGAAGTTAGCGTCAAAAAAGTTTAAAGTGACATCAACACACAAACTAAATTTATTTGAATTTGAGTCAGTGATTCAGGCATGGCTCTAAACTTCACTGGAGAACTTAAGTTTGAAATCAAAGTGGATGAAAGTTTCAGCATCAATTTGTACTTATTCTTCTTCAAACTCAAATGACTTATTAATATTGAGATAGCATTGCATATAATACCAAATTAATGTATCTGCAGATCTAAGTAGAAAGTTATGTTTCAATTCATCTATTATTATGACAACTCAGTGGTGAATGTGGGTTTGAAGAAGTTCTACTGTGATGTGTGCTGTCTAATCTGTCTCTACTTGTCCAATCTAACTGCTCAAGTCTGTGAGTATCAAAGTAGAGTGGTACACCATGCAATCGATTATTTGTGTAAAAATATTTAATTTAGTACATTTGAGGTGAATTCAACATTATGCTATTTAATCATGAAACTACATTATAGAACTATGAGACAAAACCTAGAGAGCTGTACTAACTGTTCTTATATTGAGTCATGAAAGCTAAATTGGCAGAAGGAAATTGCTCTCGAAATTGGATGAACTATCGTAACAATATCGTAGACACAGTACGTATTGAGTGCCTGGTTTCCATTATAGCAGACGACAACAGTCGGATATTTTAGTTATTGCAATATCATTAGTGCTACCCTGCGTTTCAGGGACTTCTGTTTTGTAGGTTGACTAAGTGCTTTGCTGAATAAGCGATCAGACGGTTCTGGAGCCCATGAGATACTGTTGTTTGGTCTTGGTAGTATTGAGCACTTTGTATCTGCGGAGAGTGCTCAGGATATGCGTGGAACAGATTCAGCCTTCCATAGACAAGAAATTTATCGATTTTTTAGCTTTATCATATGTCACTATCTTTCGGCATTACGATTTCCCTTTTTTTGCAAGTTGCCAGAATCTTATCATCCTCTTGTATACTGATACTAGCATGTATATGCTATTCCAATAAGAAAACTTATATATATATATATATATATATATATATATTTTTTTTTNTACAATCTATTTACCATCTGTTCAAAAATTAAAGGGTCACTCTTGTGTGTAAGAGTATGACAATTTGATCCACAGGGATTGGAGTTCTTTAATTCTGCACCAAGTACCATTTTGGGAATCTGCGATATTGAAGAAGTTGTAAAGGGTGTATCGGTCCCAAAATAAATGAATTTAAACACTTCGATAGAATGAAGTGACACAAAAATTAAAATTAATGTTAAATATTTTTCGAATAGACTAGTGGCCTTATGGTTGGTTACATCTTGAGTTGGATTTCGACCTGCATCTATCCGTTGTCAAGTGAACGAGAGTTCCTACCTCATTCTCTAGTAGTAGATCTTATGTCCTTAATTAGCTAAAAGCATGTCAATGAATCAAAGTATTTTTATTTTACTTGATTTTTATTGAAACATGTGCTGTGTCATTTTGGTCAATATTTATTGATGGGTTTCAGTCTTATGTCATCTGCTTTGTCACAGTTAGTCAAATGTCATTGTGATCAATGTAAATGTCTGTCATCGGAGGCCATGGGTTTCTTGCTCAAAAGAGCACTTAAAATTTAATTAAATTCGATGAATAAATTAAAGGGTGTGCGATAGACTTACCTCCACTTGGTGCACCCCGGGCAACGTATTCTCATACGGCAAAAAAGTCTATTAACCGGCAGTTGACTTCAAACTACCATGACCCCGCTGTATGTCATTTTGGATTACTTCCACATTACTCGCCTCGCCTTTTTATACCTTTGTGTCTGTCTCTTTTACATCTTTGAAACACTCTTCTCTTCCCTCCCCCTCTCGACCTTTTTTCCCTTCGATGTTCCTTCCTCTCTGTGAAGCCTGAAGTCAACTAAAGGGCTAATGATAACCATCAAAACGCCTGCCATTTGATATAAATAAATAAGTGAATAAATTAATTATTATATTGTGAAGTTCTCATTAGATGAGTCAGTCTATCTTCCAGTATACTTTGAATGATTTAAGTCCTGTGACCACTTACGTCGCTGATCGTTTATTTAACAAACATTTGATTAATTTATTTATTTATATCAAATGGGAGGCATTGTGATAGTTATTATTAGTCCTTGAGCTGACTTCGGGTCACACAGACGGGAGAAACATCAAAATGAGAAAAATTCAAGAGGGGGACAGAAGAGAGATCCACAGATGTAAAAAAAAGTCAGTCAGACACAAAGACAGAGAAAAGGAAAGCTGGGTACATATACTTGAGATATCACAGTGGCTACCAAAACCTGAATTAGTAGAAAACATGCGCTACAAATTTAGACTTAAATCTAACGATGGCTTCAATCTATTTCAGATCTGCTCACAAATGTACCACTTTCGACGAAGACACTATATTCCTCTCCAGGAAGAATCTGTCGTCGAACCAACCGCCTGCTAAATTTGATCTCTTCTTTTTACACTTCTATTCCCACATCTTATATCCTCATTTTTGATTTAACATTTTATCTTCACATGTTCACATCTGTGTAAAAGTAATCTTGTAAATATATATTACTGATTTTTCTAACATTTCCACCTTTTTGGCTCTTTATGTTCTTGTGGTGTGAAAAAGGAAGCGATGTGCTATGTGCCTACATGCGCTTTTGTGCAGCTGATGGTTTACGTTTCCAGCTATGGTTCATAATGCATTTATGCCAATAACATAAACATTTCCGTTTGACCCGATGACCATAATTGGTTGTAAGGATTTACACCCTTCTCTAAGATTTAGGTCGAAATATAAAACCCACCTCATTAACGGTGGTAAATTTACGGGGATCTGAAATTACGATCATCTGG